TTTTTTTGAGTAACTTTTTGCCAGTATTTCAAAACTATCATCGAAAATTGCTTGATGCCTCCCAAAAACCAAGCGCTCTTGACCGATAACAGGCAACCTTCAAACAGGGACATGCCTTCCACCCCAAAAGCTCTAGAACTGGGGGTTTTTAGGGCATCAGATCAGGGTAGGAGGTGGCCACAAAGGGGACAGAAGTGTCCACGTGCCCCAGTGCAGCTCTGGGCTCCAAATGGGCTCTGCATGTTCCAGCACAGGAAACGCTTTGTGACACAATTTGCCTGTGGGCACTTACTGCACCAATTAAAGATTCCTGAGCTCGAGAACAAAGAGGTGCCAGTAGAACTATGGTTTTAATAATTTGATTCATTTTCTTCCTTCCTCTACTGCTGATTTGGGATGTATGGGTTTTTCTTTTTCTCGCTTTGTTTTGGTTTGCACGCTTTTGAGGCAGCTGCTCAGAAAGGCTGMTGGGAAAAGGGCACTCTTCACATGGGGCTGGATTTGTCTGAATTTTTTAACAGTGAATTGTTTCTGGAGGTGARGAAGATGATCAGAAGGAGCCTGCCRTGTGTGCAAGTGTAGGGTTTTCTCTGARAATCCAYGTGTGTGTCACTAATGTGAATTCCTTACTGCTTAACTTACAAGAGGGAAGGATAAGACACTTTTTAATAATGGTAAACTAAGCACAGGGAGGTTGAGTACTTTGCTGAAAGACCAAGCTCAGACTCAACCCAGACCTTCCCCCTAACAGACTGATCCTTCTACTTCCTGCCAACAGACTCCAGTTTTTGGGAGCAGAAACACCTTTTTGTTCTCTTTTTATATTGCCTCTAGAAAAGCAAGACTGCCACAGGACAGGGGCATGCAAATCCTAACAACACAACCCCACAAGAGCAGGGATCCTAAAATAAAGCATGCAGTACCCAGGGAGTGCTGCACAGTCCCAGCAGAGAACAGAAAATCTGTAATAATGTGAGTCAGAGCTTCAGGAATGAGTCTGATGAATACATAGATTTGCTAGAGYGTTTGAGCAAAATGTTTTGGAGAACATACAGGCTTCACTCTTAGTCAAACTCTGCCTGAGYAGAAGGGACCACACCTTCTATGAAAAGTAGTTCTAATTAAAAACAGAGCATGGCTTTTTTAGATGCAAATTGTTGCTCAAAACTGAACCCCAGCCCATTTGAAGGATTCAAATTCACTCCTGTCTAAATTGCCAGGAAACAASAACATTTCCCCTCTTGCCCTGTCTCATTATTTAACTCTGTGCGTGGACACAAGATGAATCCAGAAAAAACCAATCTAAAATATGCCCCTAAAGCCACCAACTTCTGTGCTTTCTGTGGATGAATTTAAAGCAGAGTTTAGAGAGAAAAGGCAGCAGGAAGGAGCTCAGTCCTRGAGCAGCACCCTGGTGATAGTCCCAGGAAAACCAGGGTTCCCTGCCCAAGGAGAACAGAGCTGACCAGGGAAGAAAGTTCCCTCCTGAACATGAATAAAAGATTTGAATTTCATTTCATGATACCATGAGGGCAGAGTGAGGATTTTCTTGTTTTAAATGAAAGAACCCACAAAGAAAATGCAGGGACAKAAAACCCTCTGAGTGGTGTTGGATGAGCAAAACTGCACAAACGAGCACCCAGATATGAAGTGCTGGGTGATGTGCAAGGCCCACACTGCACATCCTGCACATCCACTTTCTAAAGAAATATCTGACGTGTCTGAAGTTTTCTGTGAAATACCTGAGCCCACTATAAAGCATCTTGGCTGATGAGCAGCCTGATAAACACTACACAAGCATCTGCCTTGCCTCCCTCCTCCCCGAGAGAGATTGCTGGTGCACCAAAAATAATTCAGAGCTGCTGTATCCAGCAGACAGYTTGGAGTGTCAGATGTGGTCAGACAGTTACTATTTGAATAATGACAATCATTTGTCTTTGCACAGTTCAGCCCCACAGCTGCACCCAAGGGATCTCAGTCTAAGGCAGGCAAGCTGATAATAAAATAACCCAGGCTACACAGCCATGATCTGAGTGTGGAATTGAGCTGGTGGCTGTGTCCCAAATGGGGAACTGGCCCACAGCAGGGCTCTGCAGCAGGAGCACACTCAGTGCCCCAAGCCCTGGGTCACCCCCTCAATCCTGCCCCACTATGGGACTGCAGACACTGCTGCAAAGAACTACATTTTTAATGGGTTTTGTGCTTTCAAGAGATCATCTCATTGCTCTGAAAGTGCTGGAACTAAGTTCTATTTGTCAACATATTTATGTGGTTGTTTGGGTAACTTTTACCATTGTGGGTGGTTTTGGTTATGAATAATATTAAGATGAGGCCTCGGCTGAACGAGTTGATCACTGTCACCCCCGGCTTTCACTCRCATTTGAAGCTGATCCCTGTGCCAGCAGMACTGCCCTGARRCATCCTGAAGRACCTCCTGCCATTGGGGACACCTTYCCTCCCAAAACAATTCCAACATTAACGAATCTGGGGRGCAGAGGTGTCACAAAGGGTCCTCTGTCCCTGCCAGCAGAKCCAAGGACTCTCAGCATGCCCACCCTGAGAGGCTGCAGCTCCAGGAATGAGGAACCGTGGGGCATGGCCAGGGCACCCCAAGAGTTTGTGGCAAAGCTCAGAATAGAAACAAAGCCCAGAACACCAAGGATGAGCGTTAACCATGAAGGAGAGGGTGAGAGGAGGCCACAGCAGCAAAGGGATGAAAGCTGGGCTGTCAGCAGAACTCTGAGAAAGGAGAACAAGGCAGAGCCAGGAGGAAGCGAGAGGCACCAACAAAGATTGACCAAGAGCAGCTCGTGCCAAGGCTGCCCAGGAACCAGCTCAGTGTCTGCCCCTGAAAATCACTGCAAGACCCAACAGCTCACTTTATCTCACAAGAGCTTTCTGGATAAATGGGATTTGAGGGTAAAGCCTCCATAATCCTTTGGGTTTGCTTTCTTTTAATATTATAAAGCACAAAACCAAACTTTCTAGTCAGGAAAAACATGGCTTTTGTTATGTTCTGAGTCACTTTTCCCCAGCAGCAAACAATGTGGCTTTTCAATTCAAGTCCTGAACATTTCAGAATGAAATGCTTTGCAAAGTCCTAAAGTAAATCACAATTCTCCAAGTCACACTTCCAGCTGATGCAAACTCACTGAGCTCAGTAGAGAGACTGCGTGTGACCCATCTGGCCTGGCCTGCTTTGGGTGGCATGACTGATAAATTAATCTCTRGCTGAAATCAGTTCAAGATGATCCACTCAGCCAAGGAGGAGCCTGGGATTTCATTATTTATTGCTGCTGTTCTTTGGCAGGGAGGCTGAGTGCATCCTTGGTGAGCTGTGCTGCACTTGGTGCCACTGGCCCAATTCAGCATCAGGAAAATGAATTTTGCTCCATCTTGGGAGTTCTTTTAAATGGACTTTGGCTTGACTCTGAAGTAGCTTTTACTTCAAGATGCTTTTTTCTTTCTTTTACAAGGTGTGTACAAAGTACTTTTAGAAATGTGGAAGAATCTCTCAGCTTCTCACATAAAATARCCCTAAACAGTGTTTAGTTCTCCTGTTAAAAAGATGCTCTTTCTTTGTTATCATACCCAATTCCCTGAATGAAAAAGGAACCTCCTAAGTTAAATTTAGGACTCCTAAATTTCCAGCTCAGAGAGAAGACCAGTAAAACCTCTCCAGATTTTACAGTGATGGCACCAAAGCTGCATCAGCCGTGCTGCAAACACACTAAGAGAGGAAACCATCCAAACTCTGCTCTGCCCACAAAGCCAGCATGAAGGCTGCACATCACACACGGCATCAGAACCTGAGCTCAAGAGAGTGAAACTTCCAAAGGCACAATTTCCCAATTCCAGGTGAGCAAGTGCAGTAAAAATCCCAAACGACTGAATGCTTCCAGCACATCTGGTGCACATCCAGGGGATCAGAGCTGGATGGAGAGGACAGCAGAGGGACCATTGTGACCATCAGGTCTGCACCTCCTGCACAAGAACATCCTGTACCTGAGCACTGCACCCAGCAGCTCACTCTGCTCCCATCACAGTCAGTGCTGCCTGTGCTGCTGCTCTCTGTGCCTGCACTGTCCAGCTCTGCTCWTTTGGCACCCATTTCCTCCTGCCAGGAACGTGCTTTAATAAAAGAACCAATCCACCAGCCTGCCAAKAGCTGCCTACCTAAGAATAAGCAGGATATGTTCAAAGAAAGCTTTACTCTGACTTATGTTCATTCCTAAGGGCTAAATCAGCTGGCTCACAACAAAGGAACAGCATTGTTGTGCTTATCAATGTCCCACTGTTCATCCAGAACATCTGCAATGGTTTTGCCTGCAGCACTACCCCATTCATTGCAGGCCTTGATAGACTGCTCAATGGGCTTTTTTTTTGGTACAAAATGTACAAGAGCGTTTTACAAAGTGGACTTTGCCCTGATATGAAAAATATAATAAAAGAATTTAAGTGTGCATTTCATTTCAGACCCACCATTTTCCAAACTGGCAAGAGAACCTTTGGCAAATGGAAACAAAATGGGAGCAGCTCAACCTGGCAGCTGAGCCCGTGGCATGGAGCAAGCAGAGGGTTTCTGCGGGCAGGTGGCCACAGGGCATTGCCATCTACCCAAAATG